TTCCATGCAATTGCAATTGGAAGGAGAAAGAAAAACTTGATCTTCAGTGTGGAGGAGGGGGGTCAGGAAGTAAGAGAGAGCCAGGAGATCACAAGGATCTTTGTGAACTACTTCAAAGAAATCTTCACAAGCTCAAGTGGGGTGACAATAGAACTGCCAGAATTGGAAGGATAGGCTCTTAGAAGAACAGTCTTTGTCTTTGGAGAGGAATTTCACTTTGGAGGAAATTAAGACTGCAATCTTCTCCATGGATAGATCAAAAGCCCTTGGACCGGATGGATTTTCAATGGCCTTTTATCAAGAATGCTGGGATTGGCTGAAAAATGATATCCTGGAAGTGTTAAACGATTTCTTTCTTAAAGGAGAGGTGCCTTGAGGGGTGAATGCCACTTTTATAGCTTTAATCCCAAGGAGGAGGGAGGCCAAAACCCCTAAAGACTATAGGCCAATTAGTCTTGTTGGGAGTATATATAAAGTTATTGCAAAGGTTCTCTCAGAAAGGATCAAGAAAGTGCTTCCATCGATCATCTCACCGTTCCAAGGTGCTTTTGTGGAAGGTAGGCAGATTGTGGATCAAATTCTAGTAGCCAATGAGTGTGTTGCAGAAAAAAGAAAGGGTAGAGGAAAAGGGTTGGTGTGTAAGGTGGACCCAGAGAAAGCTTATGACATGGTTAATTGGGAAGTGCTACTTCAAATGTTAGAAAGGTTGGGCTTTGGAACTAAGTGGAGATCTTGGATCAGAGGATGTCTGGATTCTGCCCATTACTCAATTCTTATTAATGGAGTAGCGAGGGATTTCTTTCCGGTCGAGAGAGGAATTAGGCAAGGAGACTCCTTATCTCCCTATCACTTTACTGTAGTGGCTGAGGTGTTAAGTAGAATGTTGGCAAAAGCCGACTCTCAAGGGTTGTTCAGGGGGCATAGGATAGGTAGAAATCAAGAGGTTGTTACCCACCTCCAATTTGCAGATGACAAAATCCTCTTTTGTGAGGGTGGTAACGAGGAAGGTGTGGTTAACCTAAAGAGGCTATTGGATAACTTTGTGGGGATAACATGTTTAAGGATTAATTGGACCAAAATAGGCATCGTAGGGATCAATCTAGAGGAAGGGGAACTTAATCGATTCACAGAGATTTTGGGGTGTGAGATTAGAAGTTGGCCAATTAGCTATTTGGGGTTACCTTTAGGTGGTAATCCTAGGTCATAAGACTTTTGGAAGCCAGTCATTGAAAGATTTGCTGGGAAGCTAGGTCTGTGGAGGAGGAATTACATCTCTCCTGGTGGAAGGATTACACTGATCAGAGCCACATTGGCAAACCTCCCTGTTTACTTCCTCTCAACCTTTAGAATACCCTGTAGATTGGCAAGGAGGTTAGAAAAATACATGAGAGATTTCCTTTGGGACCCAGGAGAGGAGAGGAAGGATCACCTGATTAATTGGGATCAAGTTAGAAAGCCCAAGGATAAAGGCGGTTTGGGAATAGGAAATTTTCACTTAGGAACTTAGCTCTGCTAGGAAAATGGTTGTGGAGGTTCCCTTTTGAGAGAGATAGGCTGTGGCACACAGTCATTGCGAGTATTCATTGGTTTCGATGGGAATGGTTGGGATGCAAAAGTCGCCCCTCATGTTTCCTCTTGTTCTCCTTGGAAAGCTATTCATGAAATTTACCCAACTTTCCTTAATTCCATTCGGTTTGATGTGGGCCAGGGCAATAAAGTTTGTTTCTGGGAAGATCTTTGGGTGGGAGATAGTCCACTCAAAGACCTTTTCCCTGACCTTTACACTTTGTCAAACTTCAAAGGGAAAACAATAAGTTTTTTGGGTAATCCTGGCCCAAGTGGGGTCAATTGGAATATGGGTTTCAGAAGGGGCCTGAGGGAAAATGACTGTGCATCCTTAATTCACTTGCTAGATCTTCTAGGATAAATTCTTTTGGAATCGTCCTTGGAAGATTCCAGAATTTGGAAAGGCTCCACAGATGGCCTATTCTCTTGTTCCTCTTTCTTTAATGTTCTTGCCTCACCTAGCAACCTGGATGGGGACTTCCCTGTAAAAGAAATTTGGAGTAAGCCTATCCCCCCAAAAATTCAAGCCTTCTGTTGGGAAAATTTCCTTGGCAAGGTTAATACGTGTGATATGCTGCATAAAAGAAGGCCTTTTGCTTGCCTTTCTCCTCACATGTGCTCCCTTTGTAAGGAAAGTGGTGAGACCTTGACACACCTATTTTTATCTTGTTATTTTGTGCATCTTGTTTGGGATTCTTTTTGTCTTCTCTTTGGTTGCAAGTGGGTTTCTCCTCAAGATGTGGCTGGTCTTTTTAACCGAGATTTTTTTAGGCAATCAAAGAAAAGAGGGAAGGTTATGTGGAAAGCAACAAAGGCAGCTATTTGTTAGGTGATATGGGAAGAAAGGAATAACACAATATTCTTAGAAAAGAGTAGAACCACAGAGGAGGTGATTGACACAATCAAAATTAAAGTAGCCCATTGGGTAAGCTCTTTGCATATCTTCCAAGAGTTCTCAGCTACAGACATTATAAGATCCTGGACAGAAGTAGCACAATCTTCAAGAGTGAAAGAGAGAGTAAGGACGGAATGGAAACCCCCAGATGGTAACAGAATTAAACTGAATTTTGATGGAAGTTCATTTGGAAATCCGAGATTGTCAGGTATTGGGGGAGTAATCAGAAATTCTGAAGGGAGGATATTAGCATTATTCTTTGGATCTATTGGCATGGGCAACTCTCTAAAAATTGAGGTAATGGCTTTGCTACAAGGATTGAAGATAGCCAAGAAACTTGGAATGAGGCAAATTGAGGTTGAAGGGGATTCCAAGGTGATCATCTCTTGGGCTAATAACAATAGAACTACTCCGTGGACCTTCAAACAAGTGATAAGGGAAGTGGAAAATGTTGCAAGGGAGGTAGTGGCAGAATTCAAATGGGTTTGAAGGAGTGCAAATGGGCTAGCTGATCATCTTGCTAAACAAGGGGCTTTGAGGCAACAATTGTTTTGGGCTGCATTGTAAAAGGGATGGAAATATGTAATCGTATGGGACTTCTAGTTCCATACACAAAGTTGTAAAACTTCTTAAATCTAATTTCAAATAAAAGTTTCCTTTGATGATCAAAAAAAAAAAAAAAGAAACAACAGTGAGAGGTTGAGAGTAACAAAGTTATGAAACTCTTGATACTTCAAGCTAATAAATCAAAGGGTTCAGCTTCCAATTTTTTTTTCAATTGGTTCCTGTTTCATCATTTTCTAAATTTCCTTCCTCTCCCATTTGCATGGACGGTTTGAGTGCTGAAGCGGAAAGGTGGACGGTATGCAATTTCCAGTTTTTATTTTTCACTCACAGTGGCACATAATAAAATATGTGCCTTTCTCATCCCTTTGGGCAGGGACGGTTTCATCTGACCAAAATTTTATAGACATGAGTATGTCTCATGATAGAGAGATGATATACCCACTAGTAAAAGAGTCACAAGGTATCTTTATGTCTTTTTGGAAAACTTAGGGTGCATTTAAGTCAATTTATGAAAACTCAGCATATGTTTAAGTCTTTTACCCATAAAAATAGGTTAGGCCCAATACAACCAATAGCTTACTAAATAGAAAGAGACATAAATATGCCCAAGAGAGCCCAAACCGATAGCTCAACACTTATCAGTAAGGGTGTCAGTGGACTGGTTTTGGATTGACCCCGTCCAGTCCAAAATCAATTTGGACGGATTGGACAGACCAACAAGACATTGAATTGGACTAATCCGATCCAAAATATTTATTAGATTGGTTTGGACCTGGTCCATCCGTAACAAATTTATATTGGATTGAGTTGGATTAAGCCAATATCTGGTCCATTGATATAAGATAAGAATATATGTGCCAATGGACCGGGTTTAGGCTGAAATTAATCTAAATCAAAATGAATTTGAACAGATTGGATGGTCCAGACATTGAATTGGACCGGTCCAAATTGGCCCAATACATTCATTGGATTGGATTGGACCTGGTCCATTTATAGTGGACTCACATTGGGCTGGATCGGATTGGACCAAATCCAGTTCAATTGACACCCCTACTTATCGGTTTGGGTTTTGAAGTCATTGAGGGTTCAGGACAGCATATACAAATATGTGTTAATTGAACCCTAACAAATAAGAAGATAATAAAAAGAAACTAGTATTTTAACTCAAACGGAATCATTTAGTTTAATAATGTCTCTTTTACTATTATTATAATCTCAAAAAAGTAAGATTATAAAAGAATATAGTAGTACCATGTAGGCATATACAAAATATTTTCGCAATTATGTGAGGCAACCCTCCATGGGCACCTTGTTGCCTAGGTGTTGCTTGACACCTTATTCTAGATTATGTTTCCTGGATTAGAGCAAAAGTTCTGGTTCTGAATGTTAGAATTGTTTGATCTGCAATGATCAATTTCTGGGCATGGTATCAATGAAATCCAAAGATCATTAAAGTATCCCTTGAAGTTATCTAACAGTAAATCTTGAGAATGTTTTAAAACTCTTTTTGACTAATTTATTTCCTAAGAGAAACACATCAAAAGGAGTAAAGATAACAATTGTAGATCTTGAAAAGATCTTTATGTGAGATAAAGATCACATACAAAACAGAGTGATATGACAATCATGTGTTGATCATTCGATTGTTACCATTATCGGCCTAAGGATATCTTTATTTTTAAATATTTTTTTTATTTATCTGTATGATTTTAAATTAAACTAAACTAATGCTTACCTTTTTATAATCAATATGAATGATTGAAATAGTTTTATTAATGTGGTTAGTATTTAAGAATTCCTACACACCATTAGATTGGATGGTAGGGAAGAGGTGCAATTACATATAGCTGACATTAGAAGAGAGGGAAATTACAGACCTTATGTAATCTTGTATTTATCTTGGAATCTGCTGCTTGAATTGCCTTATTTGCAATATTCTGCTAATGCCTTGCATAATTCATGATTCTTGTAGATTGAACAATATAAAGCAGAAATTAAGAAGCTTCAGGCTTCTGAGGCTGAAATTAAGGCATTGTCAATTAACTATGCGGCTTTATTGAAGGAGAAAGAGGTATTGCAATTGTTCTTCATGTCATTTCCTTTTGAGTGTTTATTGTATTTCGCTACATTTTTTTTTTGTTAGAGTTAAGGTTGGGTTGTTTTATGAATATTGATGCCTTGGACCATATTGATTTGTTGCTTTTCTATTGGTTTTTGAACTTGATAATATCTTGGAAATCTATTAATAAACAAAGTTTGGGTGATAGATTTAAGACATACAGTAATATCTTTTACATGTGTTTATTGGTCAATATTTGACAAATATGTCTTGGTAAAAGAAAGTTTGACATATGTTTTGAGTTGTCTATAGGGGAGCTCTATAAAAAGGACAGTGGCCCTTTTGATCTCATTGTCTGCACCAAGATTAAGCTCTTTTTAGAACATCTCAGATGCAAACAATATATATCCAACAAGCTTAGCAAGAAAATATATGCAAGAGAGGCTACATTACAAAAAAGAATAAATCTAAAAACTAGTTATTGTCTTGTGTAGTGTTGTAAGTGATAAAAGAAACTGGATGCCTTCATCCCCAGGAACTCTTTGAAAGTGAACCTCTCTGGGCCAAAAATGCTCTTGTTCTGCCAAAGAGATCACAATTCACATCAAGCCACTGCCAACTGTAAAGAAACTCCATTTGGATGGTGGAGGGGAAAAGAAGGACCACCTTGTGAATTTTTTTTTTTTAATCAATAACTGATACTTTCATTAAAAAGTATAGAGATAAAATGGCTTATCTCCACAATCTAAAATCTTTACAATTGAGCCCAAAATACATGATTCCTCTGAACCCCTTGTTTTGCCAATTATTTTTTTTGATCAGCAACACAGAAAAAATTTCATTAATTATGTGAGAACCCCTTGTTTTGCCAAATTGTCAGCCATACTATTAGCTGCCCTTTGGACCCACTGGAAGCTTACATCCATATTCCTAGAAAGCCATTTAATTTTCTTTAGTTCATTATGATACTTCCAAAAACCATTCCCTTTGTAGCCAATTGATCACCAATTGAGAGAGTCACCTTCTATAATTAGCTGATAGTCCCAATTCAGTTGCTTTGATTACCCCTTCTACAACTGCCATTAATTCTGCCCTCAAGGAATCCCTCTCACCAATCAGACCTGGGAAAAGTGCTACCACACAACCAAACTCATTCATAAAAATGTCTCCAATACTAGGGGGCTGTTTAGTTCCATTGCTGTTTATTTAGAAAACTTTTTATATGACATTCATCTTGAAAAACGAGAAAAGCTGTTTGGAAATCGTTTTTTAACGTTTTGACAGCTAGGCGCCATTAGGTGCTACATAAGCTGAATAGTAAAAAACGCCTTAGCATTGGGGGAAACATCAAAAAATGTTCCCCCAATAGATGTCTCTCATACAACCCAAGAAAAATGATTCTTTGATAAATGGTTTAACCAAACAACATTTCAAATTCCATTGGGGGAAATGCCTATGTGGCACTGAGCTGGTGCCATTTTTCAGATAAACAGCAATGGAACCAAACACCATCTAGATGGTCCTGGATTCCCCCAGTACTGCCATCAAATTCAATTTTATGATACCTTTTTTTTTTGATCAATAATTTATCAAACCTTCATTTGGTGGTGTCCAGGACACACTGCTTCTAGATTTCACTGTTGAAGAACTAAGACACCTCCAGCCACTTTCTAAGTAGGTCTTGCACCAAAAAATCTGCAAACAGCTCTAGTGATTTCAGCCAGTGAATAATTCTGATGGTTATTCATTCATTCTATCAAGGCTTTCTTACTTCTCTCTTTCTCAAGAAAAATTCTTGCATTCCTCATCCTCCTAAATGGTCCAAGTTACTGCAGCTCCTAGGATTTTCTACATGATTCTTCCCCTCCTTTTTGGCCAGTAAAAAAATTGAAAGCATAGAGACTTGACATATTGGAAGGAGGGATCCACGGATCCACCTGCAACCAAACAAAGCAAGAAACTAATCCTAAATACCAGAAACAAAAGGACAAGAGATTAGTAAGTGAAAGCAGGTTTCCCCATTCACCTTGCAAAGAACACACCAATGCAGAGATAGGTAAGAGAGAGGCCTTCTCTGTAGCAAGTCACAGGTATTAATTTTCACATGAATAACCTCTCAATTAAAGGCTCCTCCTCTAGGTGGAATTGGTTTACCTCAAATTTCCTTCACTAGGAAGAGATGTAAAGGGGATAAGGGATCAGCCAAAGCCTTGAAAAAGGAAGCACATGAGAAGGAACTCGAAGGAGAAAGAGTCAAAACATGTCTTCTATCAGAGCTCAGGGGATCCAAAAAGATACCACCAAGAATGTACTTCTACATCCAATATGCGACAGATCCCATCCTCCTTTAACAAAAGACACTTTATTATCTATTATTAGAAATATCAAACTTACTTTAAATTTGGAATACTTTAATATCTTATTTATTTTGTTGGACAGGAGCAACTTTCTAGATTGCAAGATGAAAATGGCTCATTGAAACAAACTTTGGAGTCAACGAATTCTGTTTGGCATCCATCTAGAAATGAAAGTGTCAAAATGTTGCCAAATAATACAAATGTGCTCAAGGTAGTTATTGGAAGTTCTTTTTTCTCCTGTTTCTTGTAATTTCTTGATGAATTTTCAAGTATTTGTTAGGAGGTTAGTCATCTATGCTGAATTTTGACTATTTTGTTTGTTCATCCACTACACACTGTTCATATAATAAGGATACATTGCATGTAAATTTTTATGAGTTATGCTTGATGAAACGGGGTACATGTATTCTTTACATATACTGTTTTGATGATATGCTGCTTCTGCAGCTATTCTTTTGAAAATATTAACAAGGATATAAATTAAGAATGAAAATTATGGAACATGAAAAGTGTTATCTGCAAGATGGATATTGGACATAATATTAGGAACCTATTTCAGTGCTATAAATGCAAGCCAGTCTATCCCAATTCCTTACAATAATACAAGGAAGTTAGCTGGTAAGGGAAACCTCTGTACATTCTTCCTGATTAGCCTGAGATCTTGCTAAGCCATCAGCTATTTCATTGCAGTCCCTAGGAACACATGCTAACACATGGGAGAAGAATTACAAACAAATGGGAAAGCCTTCTGATGGATTTAGCTGAATTACCAAAAAGCAAGTTTATTGCCGGCTTACATGAGACTTTTTTTTGATGGATAACTTTAATTTTATTAATTCTGTTAAAACGAATGGTATTTGTTTTGATCAGCAAGAAATTTAAGATTTTATTAAATGATATTAACTCTGGTTATTACAAAGGAAGCAGTTCACTCCCGACTGATTACAACTGTTACATCAGCACCCAAAATGAGTGGTATTTACAAAAGATTGTGTCTGAAAGATCCCTCTGATGGACCATTGAAAGGCCAACTAAGAACCAAATCCTTTTCACAGGGAATGTGGAAGGGTAAGTTAGAAGAAGCCAAAAAGTACTAGGGTTTGGTAGAAAGCATTCCACTTGGTTTAGGGCTCAAAATTTTACAATCATAAACAGAGAGGGAAAGGAAGATGAGGTTGATAGTTTCCAACATTGAGGGGCTGTTTGATACCAATCGAGGGCTGGCTCGTTGGTGTGTTAGCTGGTTTGTTCCAGCGTTGACGCTGAATCAAATCCTGCAACCAGCACTTTGGGGAAAAAGGGGTCAAGGGGGAAGTTATTAATGGTGCATGGCACCAAATACGAAAAAAAAGAAAATAGGGGTCAAGGGCGAAGTTATTAATGGTGCATGGCACTACCAAAAAAAGAAAAGAGGGGCTGTTTGATAATGGATGAAATGTCTGAATTGAATAACTTATCTTTGTCTTTTAGTAGATAAAGTCACTAAATAATAAAATATTTGAGATAATGGAGGGGCTGCTTGTTATCAAATGACCCAGAGCCAGCTTCTTTAATGTCAGCCTATTTCAAATTTCTGATGAATTGAAGGTTCCAAGAAATTCATTTAGAATGAGAAGAGGTAATCTCACACACATAAGCATAAACAATTTTATTAATACCTGGAAATTTATAGAAAATAAGGAACAGAGAAAAAAACCTTGTGTAAGTACACGGATTTAGGCTCTGTGGAGACTGCGCTGAAGACACTCAAATAAGCAGCCACAATGCACATATACCACATCATAAATCCCACTGCACAGTTCCACAACCCCTAAACAACAACAAATAGTCATATTTGCATAGAAGTCACAACGCAGAGCACAATTGGTGTTGCTTCAGGAATCTCACCACTGTTCTGTGATTCAACACATCATCATAGTGGTCCCCTGTGCTGCGATGACATGCTGCCGCCTGCACCTCATCAGCACAATACACCCACAAAAAGTCTCCGATGACAAATTAACTTGTGAACACTCCAACTAAACTTCTAAGGCATGAGAGGCCTCTAGAAGCAGGGCTGTAGCTAAACTCGTGCTCACATGTGGACCCCAAGGAGAAGGGTGGAAACCCAGACCTCGGGATCCCCACAGTGACACATTTAGAAACCGTACTTATGCCTTTTCTGTCTCAGATCTAACCGAATAACAAATTTTTGGAGAAAGTTACCATTCTTCTTATGTAGTTTCCTCTATAAATAGAGGAGGCCCAAAGCCCTTCTCATGCATACTATATCACATGCTCGCATAAGCTCTGCCAGATTGTGCTCTCAACCTCCCTACAACTTCCATTAGAACTTTTTGCAACTTTCCTCCTCCTTCCTCCACCACAGAGCCATCTACCGTCTTTCAGGTAGACCTCCCATTGTTGTCTTACCCACCCCATTCATACCTTGTAGTAAAATCAAGCTATACAACAACTTATTAAAAAAAAAATAAATAAATAAATAAATAAAGCTATACAATGAGTGTTGCATGGACATGGACACATGAGTCAGAATCTGATGCATGTCCAGAATGTGATTTGGCGAGATGAGAAAAGATGGATTTGCAGACAAGTCTATGTAAAATATATACTATTAAAATAATTCATATTTTTTGAATTCTAAACATCTTGTACCTGCAAAAAGGGGTTTAAAATGTTACCTTTGTTACCATGTAGCATTTGATACGAAAACTAGCATTCATCTTATACACTGGCCATTCATTTATGTCAAATAAGCTAAGAGATAAAAAGGAAATGTTAGGTAGACGTGTCCTCAAGGACCTGTGAAATATTGGGTTCCGACACATATCCAACATGGACATGTTGTCCATTTAGGAGTCCTTGCTACACTGCGTATAGCAGAAACAAGAGTAAATGGAACTGTCCTGGGGGGATGACCTGCAATACATTTGGGTCTTCCCTAGTGCTGTCAATGGGTCACGTCTGGTCCAGGTCAGGGTAAACTCAACCCTGAACTGATAAATAAATGTGCAGAGCCAGTCTCAAACCAGACCCTCTAGCGTCCGTAATAACTGAACCAATTATTAAGCCAGGTCTTTCGTCTTTCTGGTTTGACCATGATAATACCTGACTATAATTGACAGCTTTACTTTTGACCTGTAATTTGACAATAGACCTACTCATTGTTTGATCGACACATTGGCAAATGATAACATGATAATATTACAAATATGCCAGGACAAAGATTTTACTACACTGGGGGTTATATTTGTAATATGCTAGTATACATATAATTGGGTTGGTTCAGTTTGGTCCTTTCATGTCTGCCTGGCCCGGTCTATTGATGACTTGCTCTAGTCTTTCCCACCCCTCCCTGATTAACAAATGTTATGCTAGTGTTGATCGAAATCAAGCTCAGGAGATTTCTGACTCAGGTGTCAGTCCAAAGTTGCATCCTGTTCCTATTGCCCACGTACAGTCTAATGAATGGAAAGGAATAAGGATAAGCACTAAAACATATTTCTCTAAGACGTCTTTATTTGGTGTTTAGAAATAAGGTTAAACAGAAGTAAAAAAAGTTCCAAATTTGGCCACACTGCTGTGACTCTTAAGCTTTCAATTGACTCCTACAGAATCACATAAATCTTATGGTTTTAGGCAATTTGAACTTTGAGTTAATCTTCTCCAAATGGTCTCATTAGATTTTCTTTTCCTTTCTTTTTTCCTTAGAAGTTTTTTTTTTTTTTTTGACAGACAAAATTTTGTTAATAGAAAAGACAATACAAAGGTGAAGAGATTTGACTGAAAACCTAAATCAAAATACCATAAAAGAAAGAAAACTAAGAAGCCTATGCTACATCCTCTTATTAAACAAGGTCCAAAGATGTCAGTACCAGGTCCTCTCTTGATATGTCCTTGAACTCCTTATTTGATAAAGGTCATTCAGCAATCAGAAAACAAATACATGCAATTAGCTTCCTCCCCGAGCAATTTTCTTCAAGGATGAATCTATTTCTTTCTTTCTTTCTATATGTTCCATATGATTGCAAAGAGCACTATACTCCACAAAAATTTAGCCTTCTGGTTGCCTCTGATTCTAGGCCATCCTGAAAAAATCTCCATGGTTGGTGCTTAAAGGATTGTGTTTCTGCATTTTGAATATTTCAATGAAGAAGTCCCACAAAAATTCTGACCAGCTGCATCTGAAGAACAAATGCAAGACATTTTCCTCTTGTTGTCTGTAGATTCTGTGCATGATACAAATATTTGGGAGGAAAATCCTCTAGAATTCCAATTGTTTTTCCTTAGGAATTAGTTACCAAAGATTTTGTATCTTTATGTGCCTATAGAAACATTAGAATTATGTCTTGGTTGCTCTATTTGGGATCTTCACAGGGGGTAGGTGACCAATCACCCAACAAGCAGCAGAAGCCTTCAGCTCAAGCAAACAACCGTTCTACTGGAAACCAGATGCAGAGAGGTATTGTCCTTAAGCAGGACACATTAAGCAATGGGAGTATACGGGTTATTGATTCTGATAGCATACAAAATAAGATGGAGTTTCAACACGAGAATGTACAGGGAAATTATAAGGTAATGTTACCTTTAGTTCTGTCTGTTTCTTCTGATAATCAGAAATTTAATGTTGAATCCCATCTGTAGGTGTTCAACACTTGTTGTTTAAGAGGAAGATTGAAACTGTAACAATTTCAAGCTTACATACCTTTTCATAGAATACTTCCCAGCATTGTATCATTTTTTTTGGTATCATTCATGGTGGATGAACTTGATAATAGATATATGAATACACTGTAGGAGCTTGCAGATTTGCTAGAAGAGAAGAACAGATCCTTGGCAGCAATGCAAGCTAATCACAAGTCTGAAATAGAACGCCTAAAGATGGAACTTGACAAGGAACGTGGTAATCTAGCAAGGATACAACTTCAATTACAAGGTATATTTGTTTTAACCTTGATGGTTTAAGTTTAATGCATTAATTTTTCTTCATTTTTCTAGTATCTCTGATTGTCCATATTTTTTATCAGAGGAACACAAGATGAGTGAGTCATTTCTGAAGGAGCTCCAGACATTAAAGTTGGATAAAGAGAGAGTAAGTTCAAAATGTGTAACTGGAGCTTAATTCAGAGAGCAATGAACTACTGTCTCATACTATTATTGTCTGTTTTATGTTGGTTATTCTATTAGCATTGTTTTATTCTCTAATATATCGAATAGTTTCTTAAAATAATATCTAGCCATCTCCTTTTCAAAAAGAAAAAAAATCTAGCCATCTTTTTATTTCAATATTAATTGTCAATATAGCTCTTATTGGTTCTATCATGCAGTATATTTGAGGGAGCCTGTCTTCATTTTGAGGATTCTATAATGTGTTCTTGGCGGGAAATATCTCATTGAAGAGTATAAATGAATTTTGTACCCATATAGCTGGGACCAAGTGACCAACATTGGGTAATGTCCTTTTTAGCTATTTTGAGGTGTTAGGTCAGTTTCAAATGATACTTAAGGATCTATGGGTATGGTGATTTATCTTAGGGATAAAAGAAAACCTCTTTTTACCTTTAAGATCAATCTTGAGAGTTACCAAGAGAAAAATAGGTTTCAGCAAGCAAGAATTTTGAGGGAGAAGAACCTTTTAGCAAAATTTCTAAAGTCAAGAAAGATTCAAGAAGATAGCATGATATAATAGAAAATCCAGCAAAAATGCAAGGAATCAAGAAAATAAAAAAAAATCAAGATTGGTCTGAGATTCAAGAAAGAAGGAAGAGAAATTAGATATGCAAGAAACCAGCTAGAAGGTTTTGGTCTTACCCAGAAAGAAGAGGAGAGAAGAAGAAAAAAAGAAAAAAAAGCCTTCAAGAACATCAATCCTTAAATCTGAATATTTAATCTTTTTTTGCATAAGTCAATCACTTTATATTCTTATGGCCTCAAAAAAATTAGGTCTCATTCACTAATATGTATAATTTTATTTTTCAAAGCAAAAGCAACCGCTACATCAGCAAAAATAATATGATTTTTCTAATGTGGCAGTTTTTTGAAACACAAAATTTCGAAAAAAATAAAAAATAATAAAAATATATAAAACCGTCAAAATAAAAAAAATTAAAGGCAGTTATACATTATAAACATAAAACTTGGAACCAACTGATGGTGGCTCAGTTGGTAAATTCTCTGGCTAGTTGTAGTGGAGACTTGGGATCAAATCCCATTGCCATCAGGGTTGGGAGGTTACGGGTATGGGGGATTGGCTATCCCCTGTTTTGTAGCCTCGTGAAGGAAAAAATGAAACTTGAATTTTGAAAGAAATTAAATGTTATAAAAAGCTTATTTTTAAAAAATGAAAAATGTTTTACAATGCTTATTTGCTTAAACTAAAATGCATAAACTGATAAACATAACATATAAAACAAATTCCTAGTGAAAATTTTGAAGTGAAAGCAAGCATGTGGATTGTACTCATAATCTGTACACTTTTCCTTATCTTAATGGAATTTCTTTTCATTGATCGAAAAAAAAACATATGCGGATTGTACCAAAGTGCTTCAAGCATTCAAGAATTCTAGTATTTGGAACTTTCAATCTGTTTATTCATCTCCTAGTTGCATTACTTCAATTAGTTATCTTGCATTCCCAATATTTAGAACTTTGGTCCTCTGTCTCCATAAAAGACACTTGAGGCAAGCTCAAACAAGTTCATGCTAGGGTTTGGGCCCCCCAACCTAAATTTTTGTCCCATATATATGAAGAAATTGGTTTTATGATTTTAATTGCAGTCCATTCCATTTTAGGTATAGAGATCATATGTTATTTTTAATAAGTTTAGAGACCATATATTATTGTTTTTCTTTAATGGAAATTTTGCTATTTAAGATCCCATTTGCAAGAGATGAGGTTTTAAGCATTTGGAAGGACTTTGTTGTTATTTATAAGTTGATAGAACATTAATAGTATACAAATAGAAAAAAGGGTGATTTCGTAGTTGATAAACCATTACAAAAGTACCTATTAGAAAAAAAAACATTGCAAAAGTGTCAAACACAAAAGAATCTGAAAAAGGTGACAATTTTAAAAAGGCACATGCTTGGTCTGAGGCCGTGAGGTGCAAGGTGCACTAGGCATGCACCTTTTGAGAATGGCTGTCTGGGTTCAGGTGAGTTGCATACCCCAAAATGCACCTTGCCTCTGTGTCTAGGCACGCCTTAGATGTGCCTTATAAAACAATGCCTTAGAGAACAGAGACACTTTCCTACTTATATTACAAACCTAAAAATGTAGATAAATAATAAAAAAGACTAATTTCTCACCACCAACTAGCACTTTTTCATTAAATTGCCATAATTCTCTAATAACATGTCAGATCTAGAAGATTTTGGCCTTGCTTGATGGGTAACTAATTACCTATCTAATGACATCAAAGCCACTAAGAACGGAGAAGTTTTGGTCTTTTTGAAAAATAGGCTGAAAGAAGCAACATGGCTACAACTTCAGTAAAAGAATTGCATTTTAAGCAGGCCCAGCATGCCAAGACAACTTAAGGTCTTTATAACATTATTCTAACCTGTTGACACCCTAAGAACTAAAAGCAAATGTCTATATCTAAAGAAATCAACTTAATTGATAAAGCAGGAAGAATTCAAATATATCTCACATGAGTGAGAGCTCTTGTCTACTAATCATGTCATGAGTCATTTAACATGTCTAGCATTTTCAATAAAAAAAAAATTAACATGTCTAGGCATGTTCTAAGGGGTGGCTGAGGTAGATATCCCCATTAGACTTTTGGTTCTTACCAACTTCTTTCCTGTTAGCTCTTCTAAAATGCAAATGAAGCCAAAAGAAATTTTAAGGCCCTTTTTTTCATTTGAGCTAGTTCATAATAGCTGTTAGGAATGCTAACTTGTTGAGATTCATATTTTCTTATTATGATTGTAGGGTTGATGCGTGGTAAGGTTGAATGCTTCTCATTCCTCTTTCAAATTATTTTTAGCTCTTATTTCTTTGACCTATCTATTCTTTATAACATCCCTTTGTCATTCAACTGCAGTCGTCTACTGAGATGAAACAGCTATGTGATGAATTGAATGAGAAAATATCAGAAATAAGAAGACTTCAATTGGAGTTGAGAAGAAGGGATGAAGAAGAAGCAGCAGCAGATGATAGTGTTGAGGGTTTAAAAAAAACAATCACAACCCTAGAGAAGGAAAATGCTACTCTTAAGGTTTATACTTGTCTGCACTTGTATTTCTTCCTGTAAAATGTAACATCCTTCAATTCTATACCTGTGCCAGCATCCTTGAAATTATCCAGAATGGTTTAAAATGACGATGATTTTTTTTTGCTATTCTGGATCTTTTCTTACATTATCAGGTGTGTTGTAGGTGGAGAAGGGTGAACTTGAGGCTGCATTGAGAATGAGTGGAAGGTCCTCACCAGATGATATTAGTACAGATGGTTCTTCCAAGAGGCATTTGGAGGTAGTTTTTCCCCCTTGTTTTCTTATCGGGTTATGGATGTAACAACAACTAGAAAACTAGCATAACCTGTGCTGTTTCTTGGAAATTTTGGTCCTTGAAAATGGGAAACTCCACATAGAATTTTGCATGATACTGGCCCCGACTATCTGGGTTATTGGAAGGAGTTGGCTGGACACAGAAGTGGATGCTCTCAGAAGGTTTGGGAAAAATATTAGGAGAAAAATTGGTTATGATTTGGTCCTAACAAGTTTCTGATAAAGCACATTTTTTTAAATGATGATAAAGTTAGGGATGCAAATGGATCGGATTGGATTCAAATCCGGTCTGACACTGTTCATGTCGGATCCGATCGGATCTGATAGGACTCGATTTGAATTCGAATCCTATCAGTAAGTCAGATCTTTGGATCTGATCCGATCCGACTTGTTTTCTTTAAAAATTAATAAATTATTAAAAGAAAATTAAAATATACTAATTTAAATAAAATAAAAACAAAAATACAAGTATTTTTTAATTATTTTCAGCATATATACATGTTTTTTATAAATAAATAAATAATATAACAAATTTATAAAAATATAATATAAAAAATATATTTATAAATAAATAAATAACATATATATATGTATGTATTATATATATATTTATGAATACATAATATATTAGATCGGAGGGGGGGGGGAGGGGAGGGATCCGAATCCGATCTGATGTGATCCGAAGATCCGAACAGGGGTGATCCGAATTTGGCCAAATAGGACTGGATCTCGAATCGGATCATGATCTGATCCATTTGCCCCTAGATAAAGTATATAATGCATTAATAAAAAGGAAGAAAATAATGGAGACCCATAGTGGACTCCTTATGGGCGGAGGTTTTGGCATTTATAGAAGGTATGCAAAGGGCAAAGAAGATGAATATTACCAAGTTAGTCATTGAAGGATATTCAAGGTTGGTGATTGGATGGCTGCAGGATTCTGAGGCTGCTCCACTTTTAGAAATGAATTAAAGAAGTTCAAACGGAAGACTAGAGTACTGGATGTGTGATTTCAACGGGTAAAAAGTGAGCAAATAGCATGGCTGATGCTTTAGCCAGGCAAGGGGCGGGAAGATGTCAATTATTTTGGTAATAGTTGTAAGAATGTAAAAAGATGAGAGATAAGAGTTTTTATCTTTCCGAAGGATGAATGTCTGTATGTACATTACCCATGTATACCAAGGAACTGTACACTGGGAATATACAAAAAGATCACAATCTGTTCCCCCTGTATGTACAGAATAATAAAAGGTCTTCCTTTGAACAATTTATGTGCTCTCAAGCATGAGAGCATCATAGCCTGGCAAATTACATACTAACTTATCTTTAGATTCACTTCTGGTATCAAAAAATATGAGAATTTCTTTCACACTAAATAATGCAGAACAAAGCAAATGGGACAATACTCTAAATTACCAATCCTTCTTTGCTCAATTGAGGCACCTCAAGGTGGAGGCATGCACCTCTTATGGTTCACGTAGAGGCATCTAAGCCTCAGAAATTTTAAAACATTCAGTTTATCTTGTACATGCTATTTTTCTCCTTTCAATTGTTTTCTGGTTTGATTACCACATTTTGTTGGAATTGTTGATTAATAAACTCTTTCTGTTGCATTTTATGTAACTACTTGTCTCTCTACTGAAGGTCTCTTCTTCTGGAGGTTTTCCTTCAAAAGGAGAAATAGAAATGTCTGTAGAAAAATTGGAGAAAGATTTAAATGAAACCCGCCGAGAAAGAGACAAAGCATTGCAAGAATTGACCCGACTGAAGCAGCATTTATTAGAGAAGGTAGCCTTTTATACAAACATTTTTATATTTTGAGTTACAGCAGCTTCTCCTTTTATGCCATTCCATAGTATATTGCTAGTTAACTCATGATATTTACATCATTCTTATGTTTTGTAATGTATGGCATTAAGTTGTGCTTATTGGCATATCTTTTCTTACATTTTCCTTTTTTAAACAGTATCTCTGATATAATTTCCTTTATTTATTTCTGCTGGGAGTACTTAATTTTATTTACATTAATTTTCATGGATATCTGATTGCTATTATCTATTTTATTTCTCTTTTTATTTGCATTACATAATGTGTACAAAATAATTGTTAAAATCCTTTCGGTTTTAGAATCATTGTTATGTTTGAATGCACTTATTCATTTCCTCTCTATGGTGCGTTGAAATTTGAATGCACATATCAAGTTGACATTTCCATTCAAAATTTGTGATTTTGCACTGAAGATGATTTCTTCTACTGTGATGTTTTCTAGGAACTCGAAGAATCAGATAAGATGGATGAGGACAGCAAAATCATTGAGGAGCTTCGGGCAAATACTGAATATCAAAGAGCTCAAATATTACATTTAGAGAAAGCTCTGAAGCAGGCAATAGTAGGTCAGGAGGAGGTTAAGAAGATCAATAGCAATGAGCTTCAGAAATCAACAGAAATAATTAATGACCTCAAGCAAAAACTTGCAAACTGTATGGGCACAATTGATGCAAAAAATGTTGAACTTTTGAATCTTCAGACTGCTCTTGGCCAGTATTATGCTGAAAGTGAAGCAAAGGTAGACTTTGTATATGTACCTCATGCTTGTTTTAAATGTACCAGAGATGCATGAATTCTTTGCAACTTCTGATCATGCCTTCTGATATTGTTTTTTCTTGCATGTGGTTAGGAACGCCTTGAAAGAGATTTGGCTCTATCAAGAGAAGAATTAGCCAAACTTCATGAATCATTGAAGGTATGACCCTCATTTTATCTCCTTTGAGGATACACAATTCACTTTATTTTATTTTATTTTATTTTAAATGGCAGACACATATGGAGATGCACATGTATGGTTTATTTCCTTAGAATAGGAATTTTCTGCCTCAATTGTCCAATATATGATGTAAAACCATTTATATATGATACTGAATGTGTATACCTAGTTGTCAAGGCGATGCCTAGGCGACAAGGCACCCTTGGAGGCTTGCCTCGCCCAGTCGCCAAGCAGTTTTGCATACTGTGTAATAAAATAATTTTGTATTGTTATTTTTTTGAGATTATAATTATAAAATAGACATTCACATTATTAAAGAAAAATATTCATTTTGTGTTTATAAACTAATTTCTTTTTATTATTTTCTTATTTGTTAGGGTTTAATCAACACAAACATTGCTAACTGCTGTATTGAACCCTCAATGACTTCAAAATCTGAACCAATAAGTAAGGGAAGAACTTAAAATTTTGTCTAATCAACATATTTCTTCTTTTCTTCTTTTCCTATAACAAAAGTAGGGGTTCAGCCCCTATAATTTTTGAATTTTCTTTCCTTCTTTTTCTTCTAAAAAATATGTTGATTTTCCAGACTTAAACATGAAATTTATAATTTTCTTATTAAAATTATGGATAGTCATTAAAGAAAGTTGGTTATGGAACCTAGGGAACTTCCCTAAGATATGTGATTTTTACTTAAAAAAATCCATCGCCTAGGCGACTAGGTGACAAGGCACCCCCCTGTCGCCTAACCTCGCCTTGGCGCCTTGAAAACTATGTGTGTGTATTTGTGACCCAAATGGGGGAAATATATTGGTGTATGAGTATAGGCTGGAAATTTAAGATAATCTAAGACATGCCAATAATTTTTCCAAGATTATCTCTGAATATGTAGCTTAGAGCCTTGATTATCAGTTTGCATATGAGTATCCAACATTAGGATTTTCATCAGTACCACTAAAAGGTGTCAACAGTTTGGGAAATTCTAAAATATGTTAAGATAGATTTACAAAATTTTGTTTAATGATATCAGTAAATCTTTATATGCTTCACCAGGTTATAGATACTCTTATTAGAGGTTGATATTTATGACTTGCAAAATAAAGCTATGGTTGATATTTATGACTGCAAAATAAAGCTACACAATCAGGTTTTATATGGTAAGCATATAAAAACGTTAAGAGCCACATGTACTGATGCAATTCAATGTGGAGACTGGGGAGTGCAAATTTGACTGTTTGAACACCATAATGTGGCAACTACAATTGGTTCCTGTTTGCCCCTTGATTGGTCAATACGCATGCCAAACCATTTTCTGATCTATATTTCCACTGAATTCAGGCCCCTCAAATCCCATGCCAGCTGCCTTCTCTCAAAAAGTGTCTCTTGCATTGGATCTTGACTGATAATAAAAAGAACTTTTTCCTTTTCGATTGAGTAGCAAAGTTGCAACTTTCTAGGTGTCAGTATTATATCGACATCTTGTGCATAAGCATGTGGTATGTGATTTTTTTGTAGCATGTCTTTATGGGCGTAAATGGGAGTGACTGGGTAGCTATTGTAGTGGTATCAAGATGTGAGCATGGAGGTACATGATATTTTTATTTATAAAGAAATCATAAATGTTGAGTGGGCTGATTTATGTTGGGCCGATTTATGTTTAGTTTGTTTTCTTTTAAATTAAGAAGTTGTTGGGCCTTGGGCCCATTAGTCTTTTATTTTTAAAAGAATTGTAACTACTTAGTTGAGTTGCCGCCCTACTAGGGGCATCTTTGTAATATCCCATATTTAAGTTAATTATAAATAGAATGAGGGGCTGGCGGCTAGGGTTATGGATCACTA